GACGTGTGCTCTTCCGATCTCCCCAAAACCCCAAAACCCCAAAACCCCTAAGTCTTTAAGTAGGTATAAAATCTGGATTTAATATAAATCAATAAACAAAGATAATTATCATACTCTATCCCAATAAATGCTATTCTAATAATTATTACTCATTGGTTGTTATTAAGAACAGTTTCCTTCAACTGGCATATCTCAGTTTTTAATGTGGTAAATCCTCCTAAAAACTTATTGACAGCATACTCAATTGATGAAAGACTCTTATTGATTGAATGATCTTCAGGTAATGCTTGACTCTACAATAGCTATTAATCTAAGAATTACTACTGGAGTATATTCTCCTTATTCTATTTATACCTTGCAGTTTCTACCTTTTCAAGATATGCAATTATTCTACCATCATCCTCACTATGGATACTTTCCAGATGCTTGACATTTTAATTATTTAGTGGCTAGATGATGTTTTAGTTTTGAACATGCGGATTAAGAATAGATAGTCTCCTTTATGTGCTATTATTGCTTTCATCTTCATCTTCAGAGTATTGATAATCATCTTTCAGTTCATTTTCATTGATGTTCATCATCACATTTTAAGGAGGAGCATTCTAGTTAAGACTGTAATTTATTCTTCTCTAGCTACCATTTTGATTTTTTATCAGACCCATCCCTCCAACATCACTAAAATTCAATTTTGAGATATGTTGTGACTGCCAATCAACCTTGGTATGATCTGTATGGTTTTAATGATTATCAAAAGCATGCTAAGATATACTTCTATTGTTCATTGTGGTCTCATAGTCATTATTACCGATCTCAGATTACAGATCGCTTTGCATGTAGTTTTAATTAGAAATATCAGATACTCTATTTTAGGAAAATGGTGAGGTATCTCTTTTGAAGTTTCTCTTCATCTGAATTGGAGTTTAAGATTCAACAATATTGATATGTGAATTCTCCTCACAGATGTCAAATATGTTTTCTTACTTTTATAGACTGGAATTGAAATGATGAGTGCTTATATTATTGCTTTAGTTATTTTTTGTGAGGCTACTATTCTTGTACTTATTGGAACTGCTATTATTGAACAAATTTTAATTTCTCTTATTGTTCTAGTTTAGATAGTAATCGTCTTCAAATATTTCATGATTTCTCAATGTTAGCTAAGCATCTCTTTCCTATTAAGTCAGCTAAGTCTGCTGTATATTTATAGAGTTGAAAGTATCAAGAAGCTTTTGCTTAGGCTATTGATTGATATTATTACTGTTTTATATCTTAATAGGAGTAATGGCAGATGATACTAAATTAACGGAAGGACTCAACGGCGATAATATATGCTTTTGCTAACTTTCAGAATCTAGCAAATTATGCTTCTAACTTTGTAAGAACTATTAGGTTTCTTAAATATTGCTATTAATCCCTGATAACTGAGAGAAATTTGATTATTTTATCAAAGGAAAAGATATTTTCAGCAAGTTTTAGATTTTTGGGCATTTAAGTAAGTAAGCATTTGGATCATTGTTTATAAACTTCATAAGATCTATTAAGCTTTCTAGGTTATTTAGCTGATCTATTTGATCGAGAAAACTGTAATTAAATAGTTCTGTGCTTTTGATAGTCTTTAAAAGCTTTAAAATTACCCTTAAACTTAGGGAAAAGCCCTCTTCCAAGAGTTCTGTTCTGTTTTGCAATGAATTCCTATTCAGCATATTTGTATTATTATTCATTGAATTTCTATTGGCATCATTGTTCTATTAGAGCTTATTGGATAGTTCACCAATGCTAAACTTAGTAAAATCTGCTGTGTTATAAGAATTAATGCTGTCTTAATAAGGCAAGATCATGTCTTTATTATCCTATTGGGTGGTGAGTAAAAAGACTTCATTGTTATTTTTGGTATCCTCAAAGAATTAATGATTCTAGTTGTCATCATATTCATTACATTAAATGCTACTTTCTATTGAAAAGCTTTTCTATGATGAATTTTTCTTTTATTCTGAATCAAAACAGTTGTTGTCTGTTTCATCAATATAGTTGCAACCATTTTTAGCCAAGTTATGAACAGAAGCTATGTTGTTGACATGCCTTTAAATGAAATGGCTATCTTTAAAGATACCAATAGTATGACTCTAATCTTAATTGTTATGAGATAAGTTTTCTTATTCAAAATCATTGAAATTTGCTATTAATACAGGCGGAGGCTAGATGTTATTACTAAGATTGATATTAGAAATATTAAGATTTTTTTGGCTTCTATTATTCTTATAAATATTGCTCTATGAATTCTATCTTTGAATTTATTGAGAGGTATGATTTTGATTTACTTATCCTCTTTATAAGGGCAGATTATTAGCATATTTTTTCAAGTCTGAATCAAGTTCTTGGCAAAGATTCTGATAATTTTCAAGTATCTACTCTATTTAATCATTATTTTTTTTTATTTCCTTCTAGTAAACAGTGCTACACCTACTCTCACTTTAATTAATATTTTTCTACCTCTTTTTCAATAATAGTTACTTTGTTTACTTCATTAAATTAGTGTGAGGGTCATCTTGAATAGAGTTCTCATTTAATTGCAAATGAATTTGCTGATTTTGCTTCTAATATTAGTTCTATAACTACTGCTAATTGACAAATGAGTTGCTCTGTGATTAGACTTAGTTTTTTATTTACTAAATAGCTCTTTCCGATCTCTGATGTATAAACTAAAGCTCATCTCTCGTCATGTTTCTTTCAGAGATCTAAGGCATAACTAAATGCTTTTAAGATTAAATCTGATTTGAATTAATCCCATTAAACATTATAGATCGTGAAATATTCTGGGTATCAAGATTCAATGGTGGAACAATTGTAGTCTACTTAGCATGAATCATGTTTTAATAACTTGGCAATCTTTTTTTAGACGTTCTGTTGTTGTTGTCCCTCAGCTCTTCATTGATTGCTTTTTACAGAAGATTGGTCTCCTTAATGGGAACAATATGATTGTTAGCATTGCCTGTACTATTATTTGAGTAGTCAAAGACTTGATTGTATGTCATCATATTCTAACTAGCCTGCTTTCTATGCTAGGTTCTCTTAACCCCCTTTTTCTTTTATTTCGGTTGTAAAGAAAAGTTGGTCCCTTACCCTGAAGGAGTCTTTTTGCTTTTCGTAGACATTGGATTTATCATATTGTTTAGATTTTAATCAAGTGTGTTGTTAAAGTCTATCATCTCCAATGTATTGTAAAGGTTAGGATTGTTTTAGATATTGTTTAGAGGAATTCTCTTTAAAGATTTTGATCCAATTTTTTTCTAGGTTATTGTAGAGTAATTCACTATATTTGATTTCTTGTTTTATTTTATTGTGTCATTTATCAGTATAGCAGGCTACTTGGTTGAATTGCACCCTATCTACTCGTTTATTTTTTCTAATTCGTGTGTAATTGTGTTGAAATTCCTCAGTGTTTAGTTTATTGTAGTATTTCCTTAGCTCATACTTGGGTTAATAAAAGATAGAGCCCCAACAGTATTACCTATATTAACAGAGTTAGAATTGTTTAGATGATTTTCCTTTTGAGAGTTAAATGATTTGTGGACTACTCTTTCAGATTAAAAAGCATTTTGCATAGACATTTAGGTTGGTAGCGTCTTGTGAGAGTATGGAAGCTTTTTAGAGGGCTGTAATGCTGATTTCATTCTGGATAATATTTAAATTTTGAATTTAAATTATTTTTTCTGTTTTTATTTATTAAGCAAGACAATTAGGGGTTTTGGGGTTTTGGGGTTTTGGGG